CTAGAAGATTCACGAAGAGACGAGTGTAATCTAGATGTACACTTGCTATAGTATATAAGCCAGCAAATAAAGTGACGTCGAAGGATAGAATTGCAGACAGGCAGAGACGGACAGTTGAGTCAAGCGCGGTATTGACCGTAAGTAAAGTGCGTGAATCGGTGGGAATTATAGCGTGTGTTTAAGTGAAAGTGACTGTGGAAATTAAGTGTATTGCAAAGTTGAGTTGAGAAAGAATAAACTAGTTTTATTTAAGAAAGGACTTGTATCGCTGAAGTTTCATCGGAAAGAATTTCTACGGAAAATTAACAAATGAACAACCAGAGACGTAACAATATCTACAGACAAAATTAACTTTTAATAATTCAACGTGACTACTACCACTGAGCGACAGTTTATCTCGGAGAAAAATTGAAATCAAGACTAATATCCTAATAGAGTTATTAAAAGCCCACTTTAAGTTTAATTAAAAGTAGTCTTCACGAGTGGGGCGAAGGGGGATACTTATATTCTCGAACACCTCAGTTGAGGAAAGTCTCAACTATATAAATATAAATATATATATCCGTGCACAAAAATTTCAAAAAGTGATTATTAAAACATGACTAACGGCGTGTTCAGCTTCCTATACAAAAAGTGGTTATTGAATCATGACTTACGTCTTACAAAAAGTGGTTATTAAATTATAACTTACGGCGTGTTCAGCTTCATATTCCAAGAGCTGAAATTCCTCTGAATTTGGGTTCTGGTAAAGTTGATTAAACTTCAGTTTCTTGTTATCAAGACGATCTGCTTTCATCGCCAGCAGGAGGGAAATAACAGCTGTAAAATGTAAGACATATTTTTATAAAAATTTCTATCAGTGCTTTTTCTTTTGCTTTTACTAATGAAAAATAGCATAAATATAACCCATTGTAAGAATGCTAGAATATTGTATAATACTGTAGATGTGTTTAAAGTAAAATATTGTTAGAATAATTATTACAACAAAGCTGGAAATGATAAACACATATTACGTTAAATCAAGTTGGAGGAACACAATTAACAGTTAATGGCATTAAGCTTTAGTTGAAGGAACAAAAGCTTCGGTTAAATATTGTATAGAATATTGTATAATACTGTAGATGTGTTTAAAGTAAAATATTGTTAGAATAATTATTACAACTAAACTGGAAATGATAAACACATATTACTGTTAAATCAAGATGGAGGAACACAATTTGCAGTTAATGGCATTAAGCTTTAGTTGAAGGAACAAAAGCTTCGGTTAAATCTAGTAGTTAACACAATTTCCCTAATTTATATCAATGAAAATAAAAAATGTCTTACGTGTACAAGGGCCACGTGATGCAGTTCTAGCATATCCTGGCCGACAGTGACAAGCACTTATACCAACTTCTGTTTTACACCATTCATTCAAGTTGACGTCACAAGTCGAGTCATCGCCGATGATACAAGTATCAATCCTGTAACAATGTTCATGAACAAATACATTTGTGTATTTATGATTTTTGTATTTTATATTTATGTTATACGATGGTTAAAAACTCACAGGTTATCAACCTTCAGTTTCTTAGATTAAATATATCAGTACTATACTGACTGACGTGTAACTGCCTCATTAGTTAAAATTACAAACACCAATGACTCTTTTCTGACATCTAAATTTTATCGTTAAGTGATGCAGAAATGTCATTGACTCTTCCCTGACATGTAAACTTTATCATTAAGTAAAAGAACAAATATCATTGACTCTTCCCCGACATGTAAACTTTATCATTAAGTAAAAGAACAAATATCATTGACTCTTCTCTGACATGTAAACTTTATCATTAAGTAAAAGAACAAATATTATTGACTCTTCTCTGACATGTAAACTTTATCATTAAGTAAAAGAACAAATATCATTGACTCTTCTCTGACATGTAAACTTTACCATTAAGTAAAAGAACAAATATCATTGACTCTTCCCTGACATGTAAACTTTACCATTAAGTAAAAGAACAAATATCATTGACTCTTCCCTGACATGTAAACTTTACTATTAAGTAAAAGAACAAATATCATTGACTCTTCTCTGACATGTAAACTTTACCATTAAGTAAAAGAACAAATACCATTATACTTTTTTTCGGACAAGTAAACTTTATCATAAAGTAAAATAACAAATTTCAGTGACTCTTTTCTGACATGTAAACTTTATCATTAATTAAAAGAACAAATTTCAATGATTCTTTTTCTGGCTTATAAACTTTCTCATTAATTAACTCAAAGGACAAACACAATTAACACGTTACTGCCGTGTAACCTTTCTCACTAATTAACTCAAAGAACAAACACAATTAACACGTTACTGCCGTGTAAACTTTCTCCAAAAGTTCTGAGAAAACAAGGACTATATCAAACTGCACATTTCAGAGAACTTCCAAAACCTATGATCGCTTGACATTTGAGAGAAACATAAAGTGTTAACATTTGAAAATAGTTTCAGTATTTATATTTGACATAAAATGGTCTTTTTCCATTATTGAAGTTATAATAATACAAAATTAATTTAATTATTGAACTTAATTAAAAACCTTTACCAGACAAGGAATAAAAACAGTTTATATGAAGACTAGTTTAATAAATCATGAGTTAACTATTTAAGTAAATATGGTCATACAATGAATGTGTTCGTTGACAGTTCTAAAAGAACACGTGTTTGTAAAGTGACTAAAACAATATCATAAAATCTATATAAATAATAACAATAAGTGTGAATTATCATAGAAGGGACGAGCAAGACCCAATGTGCCGGACTGAGTGTCAGCAGTTTTAAAACCTGTTATGACCAACAACAATTCCCACTCCGTATTTTGGGTGCGTTATTAGAGTGAGAATCAAATCCAATTATTCAGACTGACAAGATCAGCCGAAGAACTAACAGTATATCATTCCAAAGCTAGGAATGGCTAGTGCAGGTAGTCCTCAAGTAACTTTGCTCTAAATTCAACAAAGAATTATTATAGCAGAAAATGATTTATAGTTAAGAATGAAAATATTTCGAATTGAAATATGTAAACATAAGAAATGTAAAACGCACTTTTGTTAGCAGAAAGAAACTAACTTTTGTAAAATGCTACATCAAAAGTTAGCTATAATTTTTTATAAAAAAAAACAAAACAATATTAACAGTTAACTGGTGAGAGTTTTTTTTTTACTCCAGTTTTCTTATGTGTGTGTGTTTTTGTATGCATTTGCGAATAAGTTTTAATAGCCATCTTGCAAGAACTTTTATAAATCTCACCTGATTATCGGAGGCCGAGGTTTAAACGGTGCCCTGCGAAGAGGTGGCTTCACACCTGGTCTGGCCTGAAAATTCTGACCACCAGGAAACTGGGGAGTGTTGTTGTTCCCTGTCAAGCCACCAGGGGGTCCAGATCCAATAAAAGGGCGAACATCTTCAATATCTACTGGCACAACATATGGACGGCCCGTTGGAAAACTCGATCTAGTTGTAGTAGTTTGTTTAGTTGTAACGTCGTCACTTAGTGTTCCGGATCCAAAAAGAGTGATAACCTTCTCATCATTTCGATTTTTCGTTGGGCTGAGATCTTCTGGTGACGCAGATTGAATGGTTTCAAGAACTGATTCTCTAGGCTTGGTGTACGTGAGTTCTACATCAGACTGCTCAACAGAAAGCTCTGAGCTGAGATTATAAAAATCTCCATCGGACGTATTCTTCTTTTCGATTTTAGAATATGAGCCTACGTGATCGTTTTGCACGATGGAATCAACTTGCTCACGTTCTTTAGATATTCCAGACCTTCCTGTAAAATGAGTCACGGTGAAATAAAACTTGGTCTGTTCAGTTATTACCGTCGGTTCTTTACCTCTCTCAGCATTGTCCACTTGAATAGGTCGTGGGTTGAGATGTGAAGGATAAAACACAGGAACCCACCCTGTGACTGGACCTGTTGGTATAAAATCACTTTTTTGTGTAACCAGCCGGGAATTAGGGATTTCTGGTTTGAAGGCATGAGATGGTTGGACATAAGTAGCACTTGTTGTCTTCACACTAGTAGGGAGTGAAACGCTTTTCAACATAGTTTTTACTGCATTCAGTGAAATATTATTGATCTTGGGCTGACTCACTGTCGGTATGGACTGAGGATTGTTATTTTCAACTGCAATATAGCTGAAACTTTTGATATTAGACACAACGGAACTAATTACCATATCTGCAGTCGAACTCGCTTGTAGCTTTGTAGATGTACGAAAACGGATACGTGTATCCACAGGTATGTTAAAACCTTTACTGGGTGGTGAATACACAATAAAAGCTTCTGAGCTCAACATGGGAGAATAATTGGGGGCAGTGACGTCAGTCCGAGATTCTCCAACAGGAAAGTTAATTAAACTTTCAACTGAAGAGTGTGAATATCCTGAATCTAACCCATCCTCTGTAGATCTTAAAGTTAACGAGCGGGAAGGGTTCATCATATTAACACGTGAGCCATAGTAATTAATGTCAGTTATTGAAAATTTTGTTGGGTCTCGATTGTTAATGCGGCTTGATTGTGGTCCACGGAATAACTTTACTGTAGAGGTTTCTTTGCCTTCGTTCTCTAGGATTCCTAAGATACTAATTATTTTATCTAATGACGAATCATCTTCATTGTAATCTACTTCATCAGGTGTTAAAACAACAGAAGATGTTGGTCGAATAAGTTCGTGAACTTCATCTTTAAAAAAAGATCCCCTAGAATTTTCTTCCCCACTTCCTAAGAATATGGAAGATCGGTAGGTAGATAATTCTGAATGGGATGAAACACTCGGTTCTTCTTCCCCAATTCTTACGTCATCATGAACAATACTCAGCAAAGGATTTGTAAAAGAATTATGTATAATACCATAAACTTTTGAATTCTCAAAAGCACTTACTTTAGTCTCACTTACTCCCATCGTATTAAATAAATTAGACGGGTCGTGAATTATAAAAAAGTTATTATTGTTTTTGCCGGCCTCTGTTACTTTATCTACGACATTAACTATCTGGTTTGGAGCTCCTAGTGTCAAAATTCTATAGCCAGACCTGCGATTATTTTCTGTCACGGTTGATGAAGCTAAATCAAAACGAACTGTTGATGATATGGCTGATGAGGAGATAGAAGTAATTTCAGAAGATGGTGTAGCGAAGTGGTTATTAGATGTTATTTGGCGTATGAAATTAGTATTTGAAAGTCCTCTTGTTGAAGCTAATTCAAGAATTGTAGCAGAGAATTGTAATAGTTCTGCATCTAGTAAGCTGGACAAATGGTTAATATCTTCAGAGGACTGTAATAGCTCTGCGGACAAATGGTTAATATCTTCAGAGGACTGTAATAATTCTGTGGACAAATGGTTAAAATCTTCAGAGGACTGTAATAATTCTGCATCCAATAAACTGGATAAAGGGTTAGTGCCTTCAGATGACTGTAATACCTCTGTATTCAACAAGCTGAATAAATGGTTAATATCTTCAGAGGACTGTAATAATTCTTCATCCAAAAAACTGGACAAAAGTTTGGTATCTTCAGAGGACTGTATAAACTCTGCATTCAATAAGATGGACATATGGTTAATGTCTTCAGATGAATGTAATACCTCTGTAGAGAAATGGCTAACGTCATCAGAGGAATGTAATAATCCAGTATCCAAAAAACTAGACAAAGGATTAGTGCCTTCAGAGGACTGTAATAACTCCTCTTCCAATAATCTGGACAAATTGTTAAAGTCTTCAGAGGACTGTAATGATTTTGTATCAAATAAACTGGACAAAGAGTTAGTGCCTTCAGAAGACTGTAATAAGTCTGTAGAGAAATGACTAACGTTTTCAGAGGACTGTAATGACTCTGCGACCAATAAGCTGGACAAATGGTATGGAACAGGTAAACTTGAGAAGATTGCATAACTTGTAGATGAGACAGTCTTGGAGCTTGTTAAGCCGGGTCTTACTACTGCTATATAAACATAAATATCACTTGTTGCGTTATAAAACCTCAGATCTTATACTAATGTTTAGTTGCTATTAACTTTACATTCTTTTTCGTAAAGATGTTTTGTATAGTAACAAAGATATGTGAAATTTCTCGTGAACATCTGTTATACGGTTACAGAGAATTAACCTTGCGCATTAAATACTTACTTTCAGTTATCAGTAGCCTGTAAGAGCCAATGTATTTGTATTCTCAGTTATTAGTCAACGTTTCACTTATTTATAAAAATGTTTTCTCATTATAAATTCTACTTATAGAGGGCTCTGTTATTTGGTACATGTATACACATAAACTGTCATAGTTAAAAAAACCTCCTATAACAAAAAAATAAATAAATTTTGTATCAAGATTTTGACCCAACCCACTTTTTAGTTTCTTGGGCCAATTTAATCCAAGTCTTGTATTGTTGCACTTAACAGCCTCTTTTCCTTTAAAGTATCTGTTACATTGTCACACTTAACAACTTGCTTCCTTGGAAAGCATCTGGTGTATTGTAACATAAGCTGTTTAATGTTACAATACACCAGATGCTTTAAAGGAAAAGAAGCTGTTAAATGTTACAATACACCAGATGCTTTAAAGGAAAAGAGGTTGTTAAATTTTCCTTTAAAGCATCTGGTGTATTGTAACATTAAACAGCTTATTTTCCTTTAAAGCATCTGGTGTACTGTAACATTAAACAGCTTATTTTCCTTTATTTAGGTGTTTATTGGGCACACAAATCGTGAGATCCCGGGGTACATTACAGATCAGATAATGTAACTAAGAAATAACAAGTCAGTAATTCAGTAAGAAAGTTTATCCTGTGCTTTTCTTCCATTCACTTTGTCTTTCTTGAGAAGGATTATGATTAAGAAACTTGAAACATTTATTGTTTTTTAACCTATAATCAAAAGAAGAGTAAGTTATATTTTCCCCACATAGTTTTCAAACTTTTGCAATGGCGTTAGAAAATAATTTCTATTTTGCCTTTAAAAGATTAAGGAGCAGCCTTTCAGATTAAAAGTTTAATTGGTTTTAATTTCAGACTGTTTAATCGTCTATTTGATCTAAGACAAAGCCACATTGGCTATTTGCTGGGCCACAGCAGAGAATCGAACACCAGAATTTAGCGTTGTAGACTTACCGCTGTCCCACCGTGGGACAGAGTGTGTGAGGTGCGATATTTCTAAATGCAATTAGAAAGGAAAATAACGCACAGAAAAACCTGTTTGATGTCTGAGTGACATCAGCGTCTCAAATTAGTCTTATAAAAAAAAAGACCCAGCGAAGATCGCACAGGCAGCAGGTGTGTGTAGATGTTGGGTTCTCGGGAAGAACAACTAGCTGAGAAAGAAAGTAAACTGCGTTCTCGGAAACGTGTCTAATCTTTGAACTTACAACATGTGCAGCTGTTTGTTAATCAAAGTCGTTGCAATGATAACTGATTGTCCCATGTAAAGAATTTCACACTGCACAGACCAAGTTTCTCACACTGCACTGACCCCGTGTCTCACTGCAATTACTCTTTGTTTTCTCTGACATTGCGCTGACCATGTGTATCACAGTGCACTGACATCTTGCTTTCTTTAATGTTGCAATGACCACGAATTTGACTTTTAAGTGACCATATCTCATAGAAAGCGCTGACTAGATTGCTGACAGTTAAACTTGGGATGTTTCTTGAAATTCGTGAAAAGCACAGTAAATGGAACAAATTATCACAAGTTTTGAAGTTAGTGAAACTAGTTTTAGAACATTTGCGTCCTCTTAGTCTCACTTTATTCTCTCACTAGTTTCTCTCATTTCAAGGCATCTGGTTGTTTCTTTTCATTAACATGGTATTGTGCTCTTGGAATTATACGATCCAAAGAACTCCATGGATATACTGTTCCTCCCCGTTTAGTGCTCTTATTTTAAACAAACGAGATGAACGTGGAAGGTAGGGGTGGGAGAAACCTTACACATCGAACACTTTGTGCGATATGTTTTGTAATCATGACGAAACAAGCCTTAATTTTCAAGTCATTGGCGGGTCTAGTCTGCGAAAATACTTTTCACAACACGCAATCTTTGACTCTTTGAGGTAATGAGCATTTATCGTGAGACGAACTTTCAGATCCCCAAGAACACTGATTCAAACGAACTCATCCAAAAACAAAATCACTCTCAGTCATAAGGTTATTAAACTCTAATTACTTTAACCTGAGACAATGCAGGTCAAAAGTCAAACATGATTCATCCCAATGTTCTTTCATTAGTTTCTTTTCCATTGTTGAGTAAATGAAAAAATATATAGTAATGTTTCGTATTACAACTTTTTATGTTCTTTGAAGGAGTATGTCTATATGTTAAGTAGTATTCAAATTAAACACTTTTGTTAGTATCTCCACTAACGCATCATAAAAATACTGCTTCTGTTTTCTCGGATAAAGAATAATAGTTTAAAATATCTATCGAAAACATTTCGTATTTATATTTTAAAAAGTTTGCAAACATCAACATGTATCTGTGTAGCTCTTAAAGCATTGTGTTTCTATATAACCAAACTATAGTAGCATATTATTTCCACCAGGTAGCGCTAAAAAGTATAGTATTTGTTTGTTTGTAACTAAGCACAAAGCTACACAATGGGCTATCTATGCTCTGCCCACCACGGATATCGAAACCCGGTTTCTAGCGTTGTAAGTCCGCAGACATACCGCTGTGCCACTGGGGGGCAAAAAGTATAGTAAATAATGCAAAATATACTTTTTTAGGAAGTTGTGTATTTTAATTATGGATTTTAACCCAAAAAAATACAACTCACTATAACATTTTATTAATTGAAACAGATCTAAGTAAAGGACGCAACTCACCATAACAATGTCTTAACTGAAACATGTCTAAGTAAAAGGCACAACTCATTATAACAATGTCTTAACTGAAACAGATCTAAGTAAAGGACACAACTCATTATAACAATGTCTTAACTGCAACAGATCTAAGTAAAGGACACAAATCATTATAACAATGTCTTAACTGAAACAGATCTAAGTAAAGGACACAACTCATTATAACAATTTCTTAACTGAAACAGATCTAAGTAAAGGACACAACTCATTATAACAATCTCTTAACTGAAACAGATCTAAGTAAAAGACACAACTCATTATAACAATGTCTTAGTTGAAACAGATCTAAGTAAAAGGCACAACTCATTATAACAATGTCTTAGTTGAAACAGATCTAAGTAAAAGGCACAACTCATTATAACAATGTCTTAGTTGAAACAGATCTAAGTAAAAGGCACAACTCATTATAACAATGTCTTAATTGAAACACATCTAAGTAAAAGGCACAACTCATTATAAGAATGTCTTAACTGAAACAGGTCTAAGTAAAGGACACAATTCATTATAAGAATGTCTTAATTGAAACTGATCTAAGTAAAGGACACAACTCATAATAACAATGTCTTAACTGAAACAGATCTAAGTAAAGGACACAACTCATTATAACAATGTCTTAACT